CTGCAGGCTCTGTCCTTTGCATTGCACATTTGACGTCTCTGGCCTCTACCCACGGGAGTCCAGTAGAGCACCCCAAGTTTGGCGGGGGGGGGGGTTTGTTACTTTGCTTTAGCCAGAATGTCTCTGGATGCCACGAATGCCTTCTGAGAACATCTTATTTAGCAGAAGAGTCCCCATTGAGTCCAAGTGAGTTATGGTGACCAAGCCTCAGGTTTGCTAGGGAACACTGAATGTTGGATATTACATTGAACATCTGGATGTTCTGAGATCTGAGCCTGGAAGCTGATGCTCTGGCAAGTTTCAGACCCGAATAAGAGTTATTCAGAAGTAAGAAGAGGTGGAGCTTCCCCAGGTAGACATCACAGCACGTCAAAATTCTGAATATCAGGTAGTTTTGTGGAGTTGAACATGACTAGAGTTCTCTGGGTACTGAGTTAGAGTTCCCTCCTACTGAGGTAGGAGCCCAGGGCCAGGACTGCATCTACCAAGACACAACAATATTGATTTTTCTTTTCTATCCCTAGTCCATCTATTTTCAGTTTTACTAATTCCAGTGTGGATATTGTTATTCTGCACTGAACAAGTTACATATACTTGCTTTCCAAGGAAGTCCGATGTCAGCTTCAAGAGGCCTTCTCCTTCTCCTGTACCTTCCAAGAGTAGAGTCTGTATCACGCATTGGGAATCCATATGGAGAAGGGCAAAGATGAGTTTTGAATTTCAGGCACAAACTTGCCTTTCATTTCATTATCCTTTGGGGTCTCAGATTTCAGGCAACCCAATTAAGAAGTAAGCCGAGTGTCCACTTTGCTGGAAGAAGAATTCTGTAAGCCTCTTAGGCAGGGTGGCTGTGAGTAATTCAGAGTTGAAGCTTCTGTGCCAGCATATCCTAAGACAGTTTAAAGTGTCATCTGTGGCCAGTGGAGTATTAAATGAACATGGCCAAAGCATTTCAGACTCTTGGGGGTTGCAGTGGAGCATTTGGATTCCAAGGAAATGAACCCCAAATCCCTGGACAGATAGAATAAGGGGGTCTTCTTGTGTTTCTGCTGGTATTCAGAAGTGATGCTTAAATTTCCATTTAGGACAATATGGCTGTCATTAATTTCATTCTTGCTTAGTTTGTTTGCAGTTAAGCTCCTCATGTATTTATCGTCCGCTGAAGTGCAGGAGATCAACACTGTTGAGTTTGAGACTCGCATTAAGTAAAGGGAAAGTACCACATAAGTCCCCTAAGCTCATCTCAGTTCCTATTTTTTTTTTTAAATCTAAGCACCAAACCCTGCTCTTATAGCACAGGGGATTGGATTGACTCTTTTTACACATGACGTCAGCCTTCTACTTCTTCTGCAGAAAGAGGATTATTTTCCAAGCTAATGGTGCAAGCTAGCAATTTTTGAATGATTCTCGCATGCTAGAAGGGGACACTAAGCACTTTATGTGTTACCTCATTTAATCAATGATAAGCCACATAAAGTGGGGGCATGGGGTGAGCATCTTACACATAAGGAAGCTGCAGATGAGAGGACACAAATGTGTCACAGGTTGCATGATTTATCAGATGTCTCCGCCCAGGTTGGTTTTGTCCTGAAGTCCACATGTGAGGTTCTATGCTGGATATCCAGAAGTGCCAAATCGGGGCTGTTCCTCCTGTGTAACCCTGTGAGGTAAATGGATATGGAGATGTGCAATCTCTATAAACTGTGTCAAGTAGTAGAAGACAGAAAAATCTGTGTCTTTGAGGCACTTGAGCATCTAATTTCCAAGAGGGAATGCCCTGTGTAGGTTTAAAAGGGACATAGGAACAAGGCTGACTGAGAAGGCAAGAAAGGGCACTGCAAGCAGGACAGCTCGTGCATGTATTGGGAAGTGGAACTTAGGGCCAAGCAAAGGGCTTGTCGCTCATGGCCAGATGGAACCACTTAGGGCTATAGTATGACAAGTCAGCGGGAACCCAGAAGGAAGCAGGCTTGCAAAGCAATTGTCCTGAAACCCTTCTCTTGACTCTTCAGCAGAACACCTCCCTGCTATCCTCCTTCCTCCACTATTTAACATATGGGCCCTGGTATTTTCTCTGTCCTTTTAGTCATTCACCTGATAGTGGTGAGAAAATCAGCTCCAAATACTGTGACTTCAGCTCAGGGAAAAACAGTTGGATAAACAATAGACTATCTGCATTTACCCTGATTATTAATGAAGATTTCAGTCAGACTGCTATAAATAGTGCTGAGTGAGAGGGGACAGGTCCACAAGGAGCCAGGAATAACAACTGTTTTTTTGCATATTAATTAATTATTCATTCATCCACATAGTCAGTGTTTCCTAGAGCTTCCTATGTCAAGTTGTAGGCAGGAAGCCTCACAGATATCACATGCAATATCCCCTCTGTGAAGGTGCTGGGAGGCTTGCTTAGCAGCTAAGGATCCGATGCTTGGAGAGCACAGAACATCTGCTTGGCAGAAGCACATTCCCACCTCACCTCCTCAGAGCAATGCCAAGACCTCTCTGTTGCACCAAAAGAAGACATCACCAGCTCCTCACAAAAGCATATGGCTGTCTTAACCAGACAGGCTCCAGAAAACCTGCCATTATCTCAAGCCCGTGCAGAACTGATCATACCACCTATGTCCACTCACCCTCTCATTTCTCCCATAGGGCATGAGTGCCTACTATGTGACCAACCTTGTATGACATAATGGAGCGGAGGCCACCAAACAGAGTCTGTTGCAGTGTAGACACACTCTACGTGGGTCTATAGAAAATACCACACTAAAGAAATTATAGTTATTGTGTCCACTAGGGCAAAGGAGCAGAGGCTGAGAAATAAGACAAGAAGTTAATATTCATAAAATACCTACTATATGCCCAGCTTTATGTCAGATCTTGAATAAAGGTTACCTCCTTTCAACTAGGTAAAGCAGGGATGGTTTATCCCCATATTATAGATAAGATCACTGAGGTCCAGAAGAGTCACAGATTTGCCCAGTATCAACCAAAGGGGAAAGATGGACCTGGGCTTCCAGCTGTCATGCAGCTGACTTTTCATAACAGAGAAAGTTTATAATCTAATTATTAACTGTTTTCTGTATTAAAAACCATTTAGACAGAATGTCAGAGACCCCAAAATCCTCAAATAATCACTTGGAATTCATAACTAAATAAAATTTAATATATAGCTAGATGGACCTGTGAGATGGCTCCTGGGGTAAAGGTGCTTGCCACCAAAGCCTTGATGACCTGAGTGTGATCTCTGGACCATATGATGGAAGGAGATCTGAAACCCACAGATTGTCCTCTGGGCTCCCCATGTGTGCTGTGTCATGAACATGCATGCATGTGCACAAACACACACCATAAATAAATGTAAAAATAAAATTTCAAGATGTAATTTGTAGCAACTAGAGAGATGGCCCAGCAGTAAAGGAGCACTTACTGCTCTTGCAGAGGACCTGAGTTCAGTTCTCAGAACCCACATAACAGCTCACAACCATCTGTAGCTCCAGTCCCAGGGGATACAATGCACTTTTCTGGCTTCTGTGGGCATCTGGCACACACATAGTGCACATATATACATACATGTAAACACTCATACGCATAAGATAAAAAGTAAATAAAACTTTAAAAAAATGTGATATAGAGGTCTGGGAGTGGTGGTGCATACCAATAATCCAAGCACTCCACAGGCAGGGCCAGGCAGATCACTTTGAGATCGAGGCCAGCCTGGAATAGTGTACCTAGTGAGTTCCAGGCCAGCTGAGGCGACAGTGAGACCCTGACTCAAAAAAACAAAAACACAACAAAGTATGTAATGTATAAAAGAGATTGATTGTATTGGAACAATTTTTGAGATACTTAAATTTTTGAGACGTGGTCAGATGTGTGCTTCTTTGTGAGGAGCCTGTTGGAACACCTGGTGCCGGGTTGAATATTCCCATAATATTAGAGTGGTGGTGAGCATAAACAATACCTTGAGATAGGACATAAAACTGCCTGTGATTTCGGTAGTGGACGACTAGTCATAGACATTGAACATATTGATGGAGTTTGTTGCCTACATTCAAGACTGAAATGGATGCTAAATTTTGATTGGTGGTTGGAAACTTTAAAATGCACTTTTCTGCCACCAAAGTTCATTCATCTGCTAGATTCTGTCACAGGGGACCGTTTATGGACCACAGGTTAAAGGTGCCCACTTTGTCGTTTATGTCATTTGCTTCCATTTGATTGGTTATTTGATGAGGACGTATCTGTGCCCATGTTATTGGGGCACCATGAATTAGTAAGAGGAGACAGGAAGTTATTGATGGAGAGGAGAGGCGCATGCAGAGAGAACACATCTTTGTAGCATATGACTATGTGCTGATGACCCTATCTTATCCACGGGGGAAACGTGCCAAGACCCCAGTGGATGCCTGCAACTGCAGATAGTACAGAACTCTCTAATACTGCGGCTGCAACGACTTTTTCCTACCCATGCATACTATGAAAAGTTCAATCAATTAGGTTCAGTAAAAGACTAATAAAGACAACTGATAAACACTTATAACAAAATACTCTCATGAAGGTTAAATGAATGTATGCACCTCTCGCCATCTCGCTCATCTCTCTATCTCATTTTAACTCCTCCCGGAACTTCAGTGATACTTTCAGACAATGATTGGATGCAAAGCTGCAGCATCGCAACCCTTGATAAGGGCGCTGCTGCAGACCCTACCTCTCTTTTAAGCGCCACTTAAACATATGAGGACACTGAGCTTCGGGGAAGTTACAAATTTGCCTGTGATGCAATTGCTAGTAACTAACTGAGCTAGGCTTAGAATTTGAGCCACTGTTCCACCCCCTTCTCCATCCAATTACAAACTGCTAAATCAGATCAGCACCATGGGTGCACAGTTCCCACACATCCTTGGAGGAGAATGTGTGAGTCTTTATGGAGGGATGGGAAATTACAAGAGCCTGCACTGAAGGAGGAAAATTGTTCACTTTTGCTTATTTTGTAGCCAAAAGCTGGGTCTCTTGGATCGGGTTCGCCTTTCTAATCCTCGTGGTAGCAATACTAAAGGAAAGCTATTTACCCCTCTGAATGTAGATGCCATAGAAGAAAGCCCTTCTAAAGAAACAAAGCCTCTTGGCTTAAACAATAAAGAGCGTTTCCGCACCGCCTTCCGCATGAAAGCCTACGCTTTCTGGCAGAGCTCTGAAGGTAACACCCTTACTCTGTCTCAACTTCTCCACTTCCTCTCCCAACCTTCTCCTGCCTCACCTCCCCCTCTCTCCATGAAGAACTCCTGCACCCACAAAGCAGTGTTTCCCATCCCTCCCGGTGCCTACTTCTTGTCTGAATTTATTCATGTCCCTTGAGCTGGCGGCATCAGTGACGTGGTCCATGACTCAGAGATGAGGAAAGTTCCAGATTAGTTGGGCTGGAATCACCTTGGTGCTTCAGCTCAGATGTTTTCAGGGAGCCTTGGGACTTGCACTGTGGCATGTAAGGGCAGCCATGATCAGGAAGTTGTCATGGAGGGAAACTGGGCAGATGCAGAAGGGCCAGTCCAGAACCATCTGGAAATACGCACACCAGTGTCCCCAGAGAGGACAAGAGGGGTCAGAAAAGCATCTTGTGGGCAGAAGACTGTAGCAACAATGGCCATGGCCTTGTGTACCTCTGTCATTTAGGAGAAGGAAGGACACAGAGGAAAGCAGTGTCCTAGATTCTAAATCCATCAAGCCTTGACCCCACCTTATTGCTCCGTCCCCTCCAATACCTCTGAGGTGGGAAATGCTCAGAAAGTGACCTCCCAAGACCAACAGAGAATGACAGAGAAAGAGGTCCAACTCAGGCCTGACTCCAAGGCCCATGTCTGTGCCTTTTGCTGACCCCTGGGACCACCACACCCTGCAGAGTTCACCTGAATTATTCCTGACCTCTACTCTGGTCCAACCATGACCTGCTCACACCCCTGACTTAGATTTTCAAACCATAGGGTGGGGATACTAAAGGCGTAAACAGTGTCCCAACTGGGGACTATGATGTGGTTCCACAAAATGGAAATAGATGAGAGCTGACTAACTTAGATACTGGAAGTTCTGACTCGGCAGTGGGCATCCCTGAGCTTTTCCACTTGTGGTGGACTACATGAATACATATGTCTCCCTCCCAGATGCTGGAACAGGCGATCCCATGGCAGAAGACAGGGGCTACGGGAATGACTTCATCATTGAAGACATGATCCCTACCCTGAAGGCCGCCATCCGAGCTGTCAGGTAATGAGCATGATCCCTACCTATGTACCCCAACTTCATGCCAACAGGACACAGCTGGCAAATGCCCTCGGACCTTGGGAAGAGGTCAGAAACCTCCTCCAGTCTCCTTGAGCCAGGTCCTGTGGCTACTAAATATTCTCTGGAGAATTGCTGCCTTAAGAACTTTGAATCCTTCCTTAGGCAGTTGTCACAAAGGACTTCTGCTTAACTTAAAGAAAAGTGCTTCCGTAGGCCTCCTGCCAGTCTTTCCATCCCTGACACCCCTCTAGCTTTAACCAGATGGTGGTGAAATGACGCTGTGAAGTATGTCAGGGTGGAAGGTCTATTGACATGTGCCCGTTTATTCAGAATCGCTTTTTTCCTGCCTGTCTTTACTTACATAGTTCTTTTTTAAAATGTGCTTATTTACTTATTTTTATTTTGTATATTCATGTTTTGCCTGCATGTAAGTGCACCTGTGTGTGCAATGCCTGCAGAGGTCAGAAGGGTGTGTTGGATCCCCTGGAACTGGAGTCATCAATGATTGTTAGCCACCATGTGGGTGCTGGAACCGAACCCAGGTCCTTTGAAAGAGCAGTAAGTGCTCTTAACCATTGAGTCATCTCTCCAGTCCTATATAGCTCTTTAATCAGCATTTGTAACAAGATAATAAATTATATTTTTGTCTATATTAAGAGATCATAATCTGTCCTATTTCTGACTTACTTTAGGAATCTTCAGGAAAATCAGAGTATGCTATTATCAAAGAAACTTTATCACAGTATGGATAAACACCTCATGAGAGGGGCAGTGAATTCTATAAATTAAACTGATTCTCCAGAAATTAGTCATGATATTTTCAGCAAGATTCCCAATCACATAGACCAGGGAGTGCAGTAGCTTTGGAAGATATGGACTTCGTCAAAGCCTGTGGGGTATATTCTCATGGCACCATTATGTTTGATAAGACAGAAAGGCAGCTAGGTAAAAACAGATCTGTCTGCCTGCCACCGTAACTGACTGGTCAATCCCATTCAAAGAAAACCAGTTGATGAATCTGTGTTAACCCTGAGGAAAGACTCTACTGAGATGTCACAAGCTCCTGCCTCTGACTTCTGATTTGTACCTTTTTTTTTTTTTTTTTTTTTGAAGCCTTTATTTA